ATGGATAAAGAAGATGTGGTGTGTATATATATATATATATATACACACACATATATACACATATTTAATAATTGTTATTTATTATATATATAATTTATTATACATTATATATAATAGAATACTACTCAGCCATAAAAAAGAATAAAATTTTGCCATTTGCAGCAACACAGATGGACTTGCAGGGCATTATGCTAAGTGAAATAAGTCAGAGAAAAACAAATACTGTATGATATCACTTATATGTGGAATCTAAAAAATACAACAAATTGGTGACCATAACAAAATAAGAAGCAGACTCACAGACGTAGAGAACAAACTAGTGGTTACCACTGGGGAGAGGGAAGTGGGAAGGGGCAATATAGGGGAGGAGAGAAGAGGTATAAACTATTAGATGTAGAATAAGCTACAAGAATACATTGTACAACACAGGGAGTATAGCCAATATTTTATAATAACTATAAATGGACTATAACCTTTAAAAATTGTGAAGCATTATATTATACACCTGTAACTTACATGATATTGTGCAGCAGCTATACTTCAATTTTTTAAAAAAGACCAAAAAAAAGTTCCTTGACACTGGTCTTGGAGATGATTTTTTGGATATGACACCAAAAGCACAAGAAAAGAAAATCAAAGTAAATAAATGGGAATCTATTACACTAAAAAGCTTCTGCACATCAAAAGAAATAGTCACAAAATGAAAAGGCAACCTACAGAAATGGGAGAAAATATTTGCAAACCGTATGTCTGATAAGGGGTTAATATCCAAAATTCATAAGGAAGTCTTACAACTCAATAACAACAACAAAAAAAATCCAATTAAAAAATAGGCAAAAGACCTGAATAGACATTTTTCCAAAGAATACTTACAAATTTACAAATGGCCAACGTGTATATGAAAAGGTGTTCAATGTCACTAATCACCAGGGAAATACAAATCAAAACCACAATGAGTTATCACCTCACACCTGCCAGAATGGCTACCATGAAAAAGGCAAGAGATAAGTGCTGGTGAGGACGTGGAGAAGAGGGGAGCCTTGGGCACTACTGATGAGAATGTAAATTGGTGCAGTCACTATTGAAAATAGGACAGAGGTTCTTCAGAAACTTCAAAACAGAACTACCATAGGATCCAGCAATTCCACTGCTGGGTATATATGCAAAGAAGATGAAATTATCATCTCAAAGAGGTATCTACACCCCCCATGCTCATTGCAGTATTATTCACAATAGCCAAGATACAGAAGCAACCTAAACGTACATTGATGGATGAATGGATACAGAAAATGTGGTGCATATATATATATGGAATATTATTCAATCATAAAAAAGAAAGAAATCCTACCACTTGCAACAACGTGGATGGGCCTTGACAGCATTATGCTGAGGGCAATAAGACAGACAGAGAAAGACAAATACTAAATGGTCTCACTTATATGTGGACATCAAATTCATAGAAACAAAGAGTAGAATGGTGGTTGCCAGGGACAGGGGGTGGGAGAAATGGGAAGATCTTGGTCAAAGAGTACAGACTTCCAGTTGTAAGAATAGGTTCTGGGAACTCTAATGTACAACATGTTGACTGTTTAACAATACTGTATTGTTGGTACTTGAAAGTTGCTAAGAGAGTAAATCTTAAAATTTCTCATGACCCACACAAAAGAACAGTAATTATGTGAGGTGATGGATGTGCTAACTAACCTATTGTGGTAATCATTTCACAATACACATGTGTACTAAGCCATTACGTTGTACACCTTGAACTTACACAGTGTTACTGTCAATTACATCCCAATAACGCAGGGGAAAAATACTAAACAGGCTAAGGGCAGCCTCTCTCACTTTGCCCCTACCTTGTAGATTAAAAGATTATGTGTCCGTAGAGCCAGGCTCTGCCTTCCGGTCAAATTCCACCACACTCAGCCCAGCGAGGGGCGAGGGAGATGCATAGTCTGGGGAAACAAGGGCCAGCAGACCCCAAACGCCACCTTCCGCCTTCCATTCCAGCAACCTGCATTCCTAGGCTTCCTGTGACCCTCCCCGTGCACTCGTCCTGAGGTCTCAGCAACCCACCAGTCTCTCTGGCTCTCACAAAACCGTAAAAACCAAGTGCAACTCCGATCAGAAAAGTACCCATCCTCTGCTTAAGTCTCTGATGTCCCAAACATGTGTGGTGAAGTGGTCTGTGTTTCCAATCTAGATTTCATACCAACACTTAAGTGATCTTCATAAAATCAGATCTGATTATGTCTTTCACTAAAATCGTTTTTTAAGGCCTTTTCCATGCTTTAGAAGGGAGAACCACTGTCTACACCACAGCTTCTGCCGGGGCAAACCACAGCCTGTGGGCGAAATCCAGCCAGATACCTGCTCTGATAAACAAAATTGTATGGAACCATCACCACGCCCACTTATTCAGCTATTGTCTGTGGCTATTTTTGCTACAACGGCAGAGATGCAGTGGACCACCTGGCCCCACAAAGCCTAGAACATCTACTATCTGGCCCTTTACAGAAAAAGTGAGCCAACATCCGGCTTTTCTGCCTAACTCATTTTTTTTTTTTTGGTCATTGTAAAATATATGTAACATAGAGATTACCATTTTAAACATATTTAAGTGTACAGTTCAGTGGCATTAAGTACATTCACATTGCTGTGCATCTCAAGAACTTGTCCACTTTCCAAACTGACTCTCAGGAAACATAATCTCTGCATTCCCCCTCCTCCAGCCCCTGGCAACCTCTATTCTACTTTCTGTCTCTGAATTTGCGTGTTCCAGGCACCTCACATATGTGGAATCACACCCTAGTTGTCTAATTGCATTAGCATAATAACACTTCCAAGGTTCACCCATGTTGAGGCACGTGTCAGAATTCCATTCCTTTCTATGGCTAAATAGTATTTCATTGTATGGATAGACCACGTTTAGTTTATCCTTTATCTGCTGATGAACACTTGGGTTGTTTCCACCTTTTGGCTGTTATGCATAGCGCTGCTTTCTGCCTCTTTTTTTAAAAATCTGATTTTATATATAGAGAGAGAGAGTTTTATTTATTTATTTAATTTAGCATTTTTCCCCTTAACAGAGGCACTGGGGATTGAACCTGGGACCTTGTGCATGCCAAAGCATGCACTCTACCACTAAGCTATACCCTCTACCCAACTCCTGTCTAACTCTTGAGTCTTCTTGTATCACATGCCATCTCCTTTAGTCATAGAGACCTTCGGTCAATTCCTCAAATGTGTCACGCTCCCTTCCACCTCTTGGCTGGAACACCCCACCCTCTTCCACCACCTTAATCCCTACTTAGCCTTCAGTCCAAACAACTCTTCTGGAAGCCATCCCTGACCAGGCCCTCCCTGGTCCCCCCTCCACTCACCTCCCTGCCAGAGCAAACTCAGTCAGGCCCATCGGGTTAGAGGCTCTGAGAGCATCCTGCTCTTTCTCCTGAGAGCCTGTAACACTGTTTGTAATTACTGGACACAAGATTATAACACCTACATGTGATTATATCTGATTAATTTCGGTCCTCACAAGGCCAAGGGCTATGTCTCTTTTCCCTTTCCATTATACCCGCACCAACTAGCCCAGAGCCCAGAACACATCGCATTTCATCAACTCTAAGATGCACATATTTTCACCTTTATCTCCAATGCACCTTACAGTCAATGTCTTAGACTCACTGGCATATGGTAATGAGAGCTCATGAAACACCAGCTAAATCATTGAAACGGAAACGCACTGACATGTTCCCCACTTTTCCCTGACAGCGTAGCTCCCGGAATGGGGGGTCCAGGCCTCTCACACACAACAGTCCCCAAAGCTAGACTCTTCACCGTATCTCCCAGTAAGATTATCCATAATCATTTTATCATCTATGCCTTAACTGCAATTTTGTTAAATGTAAATATTTAAAACATGCTACCCACTTTTGTGACCCTGTTTAGCCTTTCTTCCATTTTTAATACACTGAGACCCTCAAAAGCCTGCAGGGGACCCAGACCACAGTCAGACTCTGAGGGCCCCTGCACAGAGTCTCCCCGTTTCTCTCATTAGCTGGCAGGTAGCCACAGATACCATGTCACCCTCTGCTGGCAGCAGGGCACATCCTCCTCTGACCAGAGCCAGACACACACCACGTCCACTTTCATGATTTTCTCCCCTGGGTGCCTGTGGCCCCATCATGAACTTCTGTATCACCCTTTTGCTATGATAGTCCTTTTCTCCTCTCTCTGAGCCCCTTCCACGCCGAGCAGACCCGGACACACGTCTTAGGCATAAACACGGAGCGAGCCCCCCGCACAGGGTCGCTCTAGCGCTGCACCGTCCAGCACACCAGCCACTCGACACACATAGCCCTTCCACTCTTACAGTGTGGCCAGTACAAACTGAGATGAGCTATAGATGTAAAACACACTTCAGGCTTCAAAGACTTCGCGCGGAGAAAAGAATGCGAAATATTTCCGCAATATTCTCTGATTCTACGCTGAAGTGCTGTTTTGATACATTGGGTTAAATAACACATATGAGAAAAATCAGTATCACTTGCTTCTTTTGCCTCTTTTTAACGCACCTACTAGAAAACGTAAGGTCACATGAGCAGCTCGCATCCTACTTCCAGGCTGCACTAAGGTGCACTCTGAAGGGCCCGGCAAATTTTTCCTGTAAAGGGGCCAGACGGTAAATACTGCAGCTTTGCCCGCCATACTCAACTCTGCTGTCAAAGCAGGAAAGCACCCACAGCCAAAACAGAAAGGAATAAACCTGGATGTATTGCAAGAAATTCAGATTTGGCTCCTGGGCTACCAGACTTAAGGAGTATTAATAGTATAAATAAACAGGTCATTTCTCGAAAATTCCATTCTATTCATTTTCCGGGCCAGCCAGGAAGGAAAATCCACCCTTTATTCAACTAGAGGAAGGAAAGACAAGTTGACCGGAGCCTTCCCCGGCTGAGCAGCTCAGTCGCCCCAGGGCGCCCACCAAACGCACTCACTTGGGCGTGTGGGCCTCGTCTACGCGGTGACCCAGCTGGAATTCGTGGGACTTGCTCCGATGCAGGGCGGTGAACCCGGGAGCAAGTGGATCAGCTTCCGGGA